ATGTAGCTTGCTTCTCTTTTGGGATCAGGATCCACCGAACCCTGTAATGCATAAGAAAAGACTGCAAGTGTTTCTTCCATCAGACTGTCCAATTCCCTATCAGAGATATCACTTTCTAGCACCATTCCCTCTCTCCTATCTCTCTTTCTCTCTGTCATCCACCATTAGACCATCCTTCAGCTAGCAGCTGCTGGCTTGTTGTTTTAAAGTTAAACAGTGTGAGTCATTGTGCAGTCGTGGTTTAAATATTTGGCATGCTTGAATTATGGGAGAAAGTTGGCAGCTCTAATGAAATCCACCAACCACTACCCCAATTTTAGGCAAATAATGGACTCACTCCTACCTGTGTTTTATCATAAGACTTGCGAGCTCTTTGTTCAAATGCCTGCTCCACTATAAAGTTTGGTGACTCTGGACCAGTTTTAACCTACTCCACAGGATTGTTGTGAAAATAAAAAGATAAAAGGAGAAATGTACACCTTTTTGAGCTCAGTTGAGGAACAGTGGAAAAACTGTAACTCCAATAGTTTTCTGCCATCATTCGTTTCAACCAATATGGGAGCCTACGATCACTCCCTTTAATGGTGAACTCAGCTGAGGAGCACCAACAGGGTGTCAAAACAGGGCCAAAAGGAAAAAGGAAGAAGCGTTAGCAAGTTTAGAGGAATCCCAAGATTTGCATAAGTTTAAAAAATATATATTTAGAAAAAATAACCTGAGAGGTGCAAAAGCAAGTAAACCCCAAATGGCCAAATGAAGACTGAACTTCTTCAATGGCTGCAAAGGGCCTGTTGGACAGAGGGTGGGTGGAATGGAAAAGTGGAATGGGGGGGTGTAGACTGGCAGAAACACTGACCTGAAGCTCCCTGCAAATGTTGCAGGGACCCAGATTTTTAGAATCCTGAGTGACAGCACCCCACTTTCTTTTTGACCATTACATCTATTCTGAAGGGTGCAAGGCTGAGGGGAGGCAGGAGGGCTTGGGGAGGAAGCCTGAGTTTTCCAGCAATGGGCTCACAGCAGAATGAGGTTTTCCCCTTTTTGGGGAGAAGATGGAGGAAGGGGGGTGCACAGCTTCACTTACATCCATCAGTCTTTTGCAAGTGGTATCCTCCAGCTGTGCTGGGTGACAACTCCCCTTATTCTTGGGTGATGATGGGCTGGGGGATGATCAGACTTGTGATCCTTCACATCTGGAGGGCACCTGCTTGGGGATGGCTGATGCGTGTTTTGCAGGTGAAGAAAAGAATGCAGGGGCTGCCTTGCTGGAGTGGGTCCCCGCTCCACCAGCTCCAAGATTTGCCTTCCAAGAGCAACCAGGCAGGTGGCCATGGGAAAGCTCACCCACAGGCTGAGTATTTGTCCTCTGCACCACAGACCTGCAGGTTAGCTGCCTTTGTGTAGCTGACACCCTCCCCCTCTGGCTCTCTAATCCCTTCTCAAAGCCTTTTAAGCCCCCTCGGGTGTCTTGTTGCAGGCAATTCCCTGATCACGCCTGCTTTATCAATTCTGAGCATCATTATTAGCAGTGGCATCCAGATCTAAAGCTGCTGTTGGGGCGTTCCCATGGGGAGGGGGGTGGTGCAGCCCAAATTGGTAAACAGGCATGGATGCCTCCAGGGGCAGCCCAAGGCAGTCTGATGCACGTGGAGGACAAGAGCACAGAGCTGCCAGGACAATGAGGAGGAGGAGGTTGGAACGGGAGCTGCAGCTTACTCTCACACAGCCAGGGCAGTGCCTACCGCCTGACATGGAAACATGCCAGCTGGGGGATTCTGGTAGTCCAACACATCTGGAAGGTACCAGGCTGGGAAGCCAGCACTAAGTTAGCTCAGAAGCTGTCTGTGCCACGGCACACACACCTCTATCCTCCCAGCTCCTTGCTGCCACCTCACTCCGGCCAGCCCTCACAAGCCCATCGAGCTAAAGCAGAAAGCAGGGCAAATAAGGTTTCCGTGTGTGGATGCCGGGGAATTGCCTGCGCTTGGGACATCTGCCCACATGCCCAGATTCGTATACTCCAGCGTGTTCTGGGGCCTTCGATTTCTCACTCCAACTGGGACAGAACTTGTGTTATGCATATTATAGCAGGCTAGAGGACTCCACATCCTCTCTGCCCCAGCTAGCACAGCCAAAGGACAGGCATGATGGGAGTTGCAGTCAACAACCTCTGGAGGGGCACTGCTATGCTAAGGCTTCCTTTAGGCATCTTGGAAAATATGTTTTTTAAAACATGATTTGACAGAAGCGAGTAGCATTTTGGAAGGCCTTGCATGCAAAAGAGGCACCAAGGGGGCGGGGGAAGGCAAATTGTCTGTAGGAGCACGAGATCTTTGAGCAGGGCAGCGATGGAGAAGCAGGGATGGTCAGGGAGGGGTGTGCTGAGACAGCAGAGCACTAAGGGGAGAGCTTAGCAACTAGGCATTCTTCCCTGACATTTTCCAGGGAAACTGTTCCTCCTTCGGCTCCATCCCCTTCTGTTCTCCACTCAGGTGCAGAGGTGGGGCTGCTCATCTTTGCAGAGCTAGCCAACTGTTCTGCATACCTGAAAGTCATTCCAATGCGATCCTGGCAGCTACAGGTTTACCACCTGTCCATTGCTAATATTTTTAATGGACTGTTTTTGTTTCAGGACCCCTGCCATAATAAACAGAAAGCGCATTACGTGCAGTTTGCCATTAGGGGGTATTTTGGTTTGATTTTGTTTTTGAGATGGCAGAGCTGCATGGCAGAACACATTTCCATCATTTCTGCTGCCTTCCAGATCGCATTTGAGAGAAATATGTTTGTGGACAGGAGCTTCTGGAGGCAGCAAAACGGAACCCCAAGTATGCTTTCCAAAAGGGAGGGAGAGAGAGGCAGGGTGTGGGGGAGATATAACAATGGTACATTGTTCTTAAAAAATATAAGGGATGGTGTTGTTGATTTATCTGTCACACCCACTCTGAAATCTGAAATTACCATGTAGGAATACTAAAGGGCTCTAAGAAATTTTTGGCAGCAGGGAGTTGTATTCCAAACTCCATATTTAATATTTACAGTATTTTTAAAAATAACAAGATATCCATGATGGTATTGTGATTTCATCAAGTCCTTTGGCATGTTTGCTTTTCACCACTGCTGTCTTGAATAGAGAGATAGTCTCCCATCTGAGAGAAGTTACAAACAGTTACTTCATCACAACTGAGTGCTTCTCAGCCCTAGAACTACACACAAAAATCCTAAAGGGGAGATAACCAGGAAAAAGACATCTCAAACTGAAAGGCATAATCAGGGATAACACTTTAGAGCTAGAGAATCCCTGGCTAGTACAGTGTGTCTTCTAGAGTCTAGGGCAGTCCCCTCAACATCCCCCTCCAAAATTCCAAATTATGGATCAAGAAGAGTGAGGATTTTGAATGCTGGAGAGGATCACTATATGCATTCAGAGTTATTTCTAGTATGGAATCTGGCATCCCGAGAATCACATATTTCATTTCAAAATGCCAAGTTTCTAGCCCTGATTATTATGGATTGCAACTTTTCCATGCCCTCCCCTCCATTCATTCATCATCTTTGTCACAGAAAACCCTGAATAATTTCCACTGCTGAATCACAGAAAGTAAGATGAATTATCCAGAACTAGGCATTTTACCCAAATATACATAATTTGCATAATATATTCTGAAACATTCAGTTTCCAATTGCGTAACTTCATTCCCTGGAAGCAGACATTTGATTGAAGGAAGTGGTTGGGGGAGACAGAGGATACACACAGTTCAGCCTATGATGCTCTCGGCTGAAAGCCAAGATTCCATATGGGGTAAAAAAGAAGCACACAAGGTCACAGACTGTGAAAAAGAAACAAGGCCAGAGCATACCACAAGATCTAGGGGACCACAGGGATAAACAGCATAGTGGGCCAGTGAAGTGGGGCTGAGGGGTTGTTTTAATGAATGAACTACAAGATTATAGGTCGAGGAATCCAGTACTCAAGAGACAGAGCTAAGAAGATTGACTGTGAAAGATCAGGGCAAGAGGGTTATACCTTCTTGTATAGGTTGGGATTTGTTGGACTACAGAAACATAATACAGTAACACAGTTGAAGGACAAGGGGTCTCTTCCAGGACAGAGAGAAATAACTCAGTGATTACAGCTTTACAGGTGTGAAGCCCTCCATTTGTACCCCTTGCCCATCAGTGAAGGCATCTTGGGGCAAACTAAGAACCCATTCCCTTCTTGGAAGGGCTTGTTTCTAGAGCCCCTGATGGTCAAGGGGGATAAGTACTGGACTTGGGTGCTTCCAGATGAGAATTTTAATGCACTATGCCCTGCATTGCTCATAGAATTTTACAGGGATCAAGATATCATTGTCTTTCTCTGGTAACCCTCCCATGTTTTCCCACTGCTTGTTCTGCCTTTATTTCCTATCACAAGAAATTGGTTAAGGAAGAAGAGGTAATAGCTGCACAATGTCTTTTGTTTTGAGGTGCTAATAGCCATCCATCTGGAAGCACCCACAGGGAGACCACTCGGGATGAGCTATGAGTAAACACTTCTGCCCAGGTTTTCCGAAATATTCCAACAAGGAACCATGAATTAAATGACTTGCCCATATTTATTTTGTTTTTCATCTGTTATGGAGAAGAGCAAGGAAATACCTATGACACCAAACCTTTGTCTCCTGATCACTAGAAATCCTACTGAGCATCACTCCAATTTTAGAGATTTCACCACGTATGTTCAAGAGGACTAGAAACTTACTTTAAAAAATGAACATTGAGAGTCTGTTACCAATTTCTGGACTCATTCTGCACCTGGTCAGAATCGCAATCCATAGGCAGCCTTGAGTATAACACAGTATAAGGCTTTATGAGGTAGAGTAACAGGACCGCAGGGTTATCGAATGTAGGACACGAAGATGTATGAGCAATAATAAATGGGCAATGCGGTCAAACCCCCAAAAAAGGGTGGGGAGACAGAACAAATAAGGCAGGTTATGGGGTTAGGTTTCTCTCACCAGATGAAGTCTGTGCAGTGGCTGCAGAAGGTGGGTTGCTTGAAGAAGCGGGCGGTGAACTTGTGGCTCTTCACCTCGTGGATGACCTTCTGGCGTAGCGCCCCCTTGCGGCAGAAAAGTGGCTTGGTTAAGCATTCGGTCTCGGTGGGGGAGCTCAGCAGCGCCATGGTGCCCCCTGGGGGAAGCCCCGTGCCCTGACCCACGAACGGGAGGGTGCTCAGGAGGGGGCGATGTGGGGTGCAGAGGAAGGGCAGGAGAAGCAGGAAAAGGGTGGCCTGGGCAAGGATCCTGGAGCTGGAGAAGGGGGTGGGGGCGCGGGGGGGCGAGGTCGAGGGCGCCCCGGCGCCTGGCTGGCCGGCCGCGCGGCAGCGAGACGAGGGAAGTGGAGAAGGGCTGGAAGAAGGCAAGAACAGCAGGACCAGGAGAAGAGGATGGGTGGGGAGAGAAAGGGATGTGGAGGGAGGGATGGAAGGTGGAGGGAAGCTGAGGAGGTGTGGATGGACAGAAGGACGAGAAAGCAGTGAGTGGAGTAAGAGAAAGCAAGAAAGAGGAGAAAAAGAGGGTGATGGAGAGACTGGGAAAGCCGAAGCTGGAAGGCGAGCGCGCGAGGCGAGAGGCTCAGCAACCGCTCCACAGGATGAAAGCGAGGAAGAAACAAACAGGTTGTGGATTTGGGCTGTGCCTGCTTCTCTCGCAGGGAGATTTGGATGGGGGAGGCTGAGGCAGAGGAGGAGGAGGAGGAGGAGTCAGAGTTTAAAGAGGAATCACTGGGAAAAAACGGCTTTTGGGAAGCCAAGAGCAAGGAGGGCTCTCCCTGCTGCTTTAACCCTTTTCACTTTTACTGCCCTCTCAGAGAAGCATCCTGGTTCCCACCCTTGCCCGCTCCATTTCTGCTTTCCAGAAGAAACCAAATCCTAAAAGGAATTAGGGAATGCAATGATGGGTTGGGAAAGAAGCTAAGATATTAAGAGGGTCTCCTGAGAGAGAATAACAGGTATTCTTTTGGAAAGTCAGACCAGGGAGCTGAGATGTCAGGATTCTCTGGGAAAACGGTGAAATCCAGAGTGGGTAGGCTGAGAGTGCTTTTCCCCGCTGAGGAAGAAGGGGGTTGAGGCAGGGATGAGATGGGCAGCGTTGCGTTGGCATTCACGGTGGGTGAAGATTCTCAGGTTCATCGCCATATCCTGGCACTCTGAAGAGAGCCTGTTTTCTTACTTACGAGTTCAGAGTTCCCTGTGACAATTCTTGTGGAAGCAACCTGCCCTTTGGCAGGGCCCCTGTCCCAGTCTTGTTAATGAATTACTTTCGGACACACACTGTGAGAGGGATTTCTAAAGGATGGCTAAGCCCCAGTTATAAGACTGCCCCAACCCACAAGGCAGAACCTAGGAGCTGCCAGCCCTCCAGACCTTCAGCCACAAATCCCAGAGAACCCAAGAATCTGGGGCCTTCACCCTCTGCCTAGACACACAGACACCCCCTCGGCTGTCTTCCATACAGAACAGAACTGCTGACCCCACTCCTGAACTCTCCGATAACAGAGTGAACACAACTTCTCTCCCAGAGAACCCAGGAGTCCTGCCTGAACAAGACTGGGTGTAACCCAGGTGCTCAAGCTGTGTGCACACCTGATAAAATGGCCAGGTTTGCCTCTCTGCTGCTTCTGCTGCTGGTGGTCTTTTCTTCCCTGTTCTCAGAAGGATCTGGAGAAGTGGAAGGTGAGCCCCAATAATCCCCTCTCCCTTTTCTGCTCTCAGTCTTTCCGGCTGACTTTTCACCTCCCCCTTCCCAAATACCTTCCCAAATTCAGTGCTCTGCCCCTTCACAAGTTACTCCATCAGAAACAATATTATATACCCTGTTTATCTACCGAATGTTCTCCTGTCTAGTCTGACTGGTTGCAGATCTTTAGGGTTTTGGGTAGCTGCTTATCCCTAGCAGCCCATCCCTTTTTGATTGAGGATGCCAGAGACCTTCGACATGCTAAGTGGACACTCCATTATCAATCAATGATCCATTGCCCCATACTGTGGATACGTTGTGTGTCCACCACCATCCATTCCCAGCCCAAGTTCGTCCGTCCGTCTGTCCGTCCATCCTTCCTTATTTGTACCCCACCTATTTTCCTTCCAAGGAACACAATTCTCCTTCTCCTTTCAATCTTACCCTCACAACAACAACTACCCTGTGAATTTGGTTGAGCTGACTACTTTCCTGGCTGGTCCAAAGTCATCCGTGGAGCTTGAGGGCCAAGTTGTGAGGGCCCACAACTAGACCCCAGACCTCCTGGATCCCCAGACCAACACTTTAACCACTACACCACACTGGCTCTCACGTTACCATCCCCACCAATCCAGGCTGCCCATAATATTTTTAGTAGCTTCTGCAAAAGCAGCATATCTCAGCATCAGCTGTGAGGTTGTGCAGACTCCTGGAGCACAGGTCTCCGATTGTGTTGCTCATCCACTTGGAGCAACAGAATGCCAGGCCCATCTGCTGCACTTTGCTAAACAAGGCAGAAAAAGAAATGACAGGCCACCTTGTCCCACCATAGGATGAATAAATTAGAAGGAGGATTTATTATCAGTTCATTTTCTTTGATGCTCATGCACTTTTCCTAATCCTGTTTTCATTCAAGACTCAAGGTTCCAGGTATGTTTCTATTAAGCTATTTTTGTATTTGGGCAGAATCACAGAATGCAAACATGTCAGGGCTCTATAGGGAACAGCTGTAGAGACACAGGATTATCCAGTTATTTATTCTTAAAGGCTTATTAGTTTCCCACACATATTTTAAGAAGTCAAGTTTCTGAGATCTGCTGTATCTCCAAACTTCTGTCCATAGATACACGCGTTTTAAAATTCTCTACCTAAAATGCTCCACCCTGATAAACCCTTCAATAGATTCCAATGTATAGTCTATCCAAATTTAACACTCAGGATATGTAACTATGAACCTTTACCTTATAACCGCTGAGTCCCTATTCAATCCATTTGACAGACAGAAAATTCAGGCTATTCAGAAAGAGCCTAGAAATGAGAGGAGCTCACCTAGGTCACAGTCCCACACACTAGGCACTGGGTAAAACTGCTAGGCTGCCTTCTTTCTAATGTTTTCCTGGCTTCCAGCAACATGCCTTCTAACTCTTCCCTCACGCACCCTTTCTCTTTCTCCACCCGTCCATCCATGCATGCATCCATCCATCGGTTCTGTGGGCAATCACATGCATGTTCGGGCGGGGGAAAAGGTGCAGATTTCCCAGCCAGCATGCTCAGCTGTGGCACACTGGGAGTTGTAGGCCTTTCTTCTAAACGTGTGCACGACTGCACTTCTAATTTCTAAAATGAGATGTTTAAGCCTAAAATGTTTAAGCCTCATTTATCTCTGCCTATCTTGCTTTAAGTTAAATCAGTGCATTCATCCATCCTGAAAGAGATTCATGGTGCTTTTCCGAGTCATCATTTTTAAAAGCACCGTATAGGCACAGTTGTTACTAATGTGCTGCCCAATAGTTAATGAGTTTGAGAAAGATCCAGACATTATTCTTTGCTGTGGCACTTCTATTTCAGGGCTAGCACATTTTCCCTGGGATAAAAGCGTGCACACATGCACACACATGTACATACACACCCACCCTGGGAAAACATTATTCCTTGTTCCTCCCCAGTGAGCTAGCTAGCATGTCTGGAGTGGGGAGTGCTCCCTGAAATAATGTGATTACGGAATGGCTATAGCACTACTGCAATTCATTTGTGGGTTTGTTCAAAGCAAATGTTACAACCGAGACTCACTTTGCAGATCATCAGAATAAGCATTTGTGTGCTACGCACTTAGTTTCATGCTTGCACCAGCTTTTTTACAGATTGCACGACTGACAGACAGGATTATGAGCTGCTTAGTGATTGTTATGTTTACTTATTTGTGTGATTATTTGATATACTATGCTTTTTATTTCATTTCATTTCATGTGTTTGTTTCTTACATTTTTTCCAGAAGCGATTTACTATTAAAAGCCATAGAAAGGTGCAGTATAATCCGGGCCAGTACCTTTGAATTTATTACTATTCACTTGGGGCTTTTGAGTCATGCAAACTGAAGCACTGAATTAATACATAAACAAATATATTTGTAGCCATACGCAGATAGGTGCCATTTCTTGCAGAACTAGCTAAAACTGGAATACCAAGAATATTTTCACCACCTGGTGGTCACTGGAAGCAGCACAAGCCTTCTTTTCTCATTTAAGTTTAGAACAGAAGGAAAGGATCATGTGCTAAAGAGAATACTTCTCTCAAGGTTTCTTTGAAAAACCAAAGACTTTTTCTCTGAACCCCACCGCTTTCCATACACAAAATAGGTAAGGTACAAACTTAACATGGGTGTTGCTTCTACTTAAGGATCTAGCAACCACTGCTGTCGTGCTCACAGAGTTGTAGACATAACACCTAAGCACAGGGCTGGGGACTCTCAAGCCAAGGAGCTAAGTCCAGTTCTCCTGGGATTCCAGTCTGCCTTTCCCAGGGTTTCTCAACCAGCCACACCCTCATAGCTCAGGAGCACCAGCAGAAGATCCAAGGTTGATCCTCTGCATCTCCAAGCAGGAAAGGAAATCCTGCCTAAAATCCCAAAGAGCAACTGCTGCCAGTCAGTGTTGGCAACACTAGGATAGATGGACCAGGGGCTCCCTCAGCATAAAGGGAGCTCACTAGACCAGACTGCCCTTGACTGGATAGTTATGTAGTTATGCCCTGAAAATACAAAGCTGTAACTTCATATACATTGTGTTAGATAACTAGACACCAGCTATTAAATCCTACCAGGGCTTGTGCTAAAGAATTACAGGAAGCCAGGCATGTTGGGTTCTCTGTAAAGGCCAGGGTACAGTCTTAAACTCTAGGTGCAAATGAGCTGCAAGCATTGATCAGTACCCCTCCCCCATGAGGGATAGCAATGTTCTTCTATTAAAAAACTAAACAATGCAATACGTGGAAATGGGAAGATCTCAAGTCTGTAGATTCCCTTACTCCCAACCCAATAGGGCTATGAGAATTCCATGTAAGAAGAATTTTCAGTTTTGAAATACACAAACTGAAACCTTTGAAAAGTTCAGTCAATGTTGGGCTTTAATTTTTTTAACTAGGTAGGGTGAAGTTTGAAAAGAAAGTGAGGTATAAAGCATTGCATGTAATGATAAAATTATTGCATGTCTCAGTTTGCATAAAATTTAATAAGGTACTTATTAAATAAGCATTAAGCTACTTAATGACAGTTTTCCAAGTACTTCTATAATGCTATGTCAATACTCAGTAGGTACATGATTTGTCAGCAAAAAAGTTCTACCACTCCCAGCATCCCCAGCCAGTTAGCTGAGAATTGCAGAATTTTCTTCTGTCTAAACATGCATAGGAGTGCATCCTACATTTGATAAACGGTTCCCTCTGCCAACTCTCCAATCTACAATTGTGTGGTTTACACAATTCCTTGGTTGTTTATCTAGTGGGGCAGAGTGAGCAACTCTTCCATGCTCTTGTCACTTCGACTTTCCCTTAACAACCCAGGAACATGTTTCTGCGATGTTACCATGCCCTGCAAACCTGGTAACTCTTGAGCTGTTTAGGGGTTAAACAACCCAGAGTTAACCCAACAAAAAACCTTAGGTATTCTTGAGTTGTTAAGTGAAAGCAGAATTGATGAGCTTGCAGGACACAGCACAGTCCTTGGCTGTGGCTTGGCCTGACAATCCATGGTTCAACCCACCCATGGGTTGCCAGTACATGCAAACCAGGCCTTTGTTTTGCCAGCCGTTTCTGCTTGCTTTCATGACTGCTACTTGAGTTGCAAATGTGCTCCCAGCCCTTTCTGGTCATCACAGCTTAAGGGGCAGAGCATCCCACACCTTCAGGGGCTTTCCCCAGCATGCTATGGCATTTGGAAGGAAGGCCCATAGCTCCATGATGGAGCTTGTACTTTGCATATACAAAGTTCCAGGTTTGTTCCCCGGCACTGGAAAAATGCCTTCTGGAACTCAAAGAGCTGCTGCTTGCCAGTGTTGACAATACAGGGCTACGTGGACCGATGATGTGATGCAGCCTGAGAGCCACTGCATTCCTGCCATTTCTCTCTTCCTCCCCATCCCCATCGGATATTCCCAGCTCTCAACTAGCCCACTTTCTAAGCAGCCCCAAGATATATAAAATGTTTCCAGACTTTTTTTTCCTTAAAATATTCTGCCAAGGCCCCACTCCAATAAAACTATGCTATGTAATAACAATGGAGAGGTGTTTTTGCTCAACAGTGGCGTTCTAGCTTTGAATGCCCTTGTCTATAAAGGTGTAACTGTGATTTGCTTTTTCAATTAAGATATTTTCCCCTAAGTGAGCAATTTCATTTTGATAATCCTTCAGTCTGCTTCATAACTTTTAGTATTCTGGTTTGTATTATGGTCGTTCGGTGTTAATGTTTTACTGCCTTGTATTAGGCTTTAAATAATTTCTTACCTGCGTGGTTTTAGACAGCACTGGAACCTGATTTGATGAAAGGTCGCATGGAAATGTTTTAGTTAAAATACAGAAGAGATTCATTCTGGTTGTTGCCAGCAGAGCTACTACCATATATTTTGTGGTGTTGTAAGGTCAAATGTTTATTCTGAACCAGTAACTTCATTTTTGTATGTTGCATTCCAGCATAGGTTCGACAGATCTGTTGAAATAATAGTTCACATTTTGTTACAATTTGGGGAAAATAAAGACTCGATTTGGTTTTCGGTTCAGATTAAGGTTCAGTTTGACATCTTTCTCGTGCAGGCAAACCTAAATGAACAGGCCCGCACGGCAGGCATCAGAGTCATTGCAAGGGTAATGAGGCGCAGCTTTAAAATGAGGTTCGGCAGAGGGACATTTAGGAAGCTCACGAGGAGGAAACGAGCCAAGACAGAGATATTCTCTCCATCACTGCACAGGGAGGAAGCACAAGACTAGGCCTATCTTGAGACAGCCTCTAGCACAGGAGGTTTTGGAACAACATTAAAGAACAGCCCATTGTCAGTTAGCTTGTGTGTGTGTGTGTGTGTGTGTGTGTGTGTGTGTGTGTGTCTTACCCTGCAAGCAGATGCCATTTATATAGTCTCTTATAGGGGACGAAACATCTTGGGCCATGTTGCCAAGCTGGGAGAGGCAGTTCTTCCTTTGCCTACATTTTCCCACTGCAGCCACATTTTTCACTGTGAAATGCTGTGCTTTTTAACAATATATGCAGCGGCCCTACCTCCGTATCTCAGTGACCCACCCCATTTATAAGAATCCATCCATAGGTTCTTCTTTTTCCAGCCAAGAATGGAACTGATTCCCAGTGTCCATCCCGGAAGAAGAACCCTTTAGCACTGGCAGGACACAAGTGCCAGAAAAGCTGCAAACTCCAGAAGTGCTCTAAAAGCAGGAGCTGTGTCTGTGATGGGAACTGTGGACTGAGCTGCATCCCTTCTGGTAGGTATAAAGAGCTCCAACTCCCTCAACTTAACTACCTAATTCTCATTCTAACACCATTCCTCCCCTGAGAAATCTGGTGCTCAAGTGCTTCCGTGTTTTTCCTGACTTTCCTTTAAATAAACACCAGTATATAGTTGCCAAAAATTCATTGTTTATTCCAACATGTCAACCATACATTCTATATTCTTCATTTCCCATTCCATAAGAACCTATGATTTGTAGTTTCCAGGTCCTTCTCTCCCCTTCCTACCCTCATTTTTTCTATGACAATTCACATATTCACTTCCCAGACAATCTCCGAGTCCCTTAGCATTAACACCCCAAAGACACTGGGCACAATTCTGACTTTTCTTCCCTAATCTCCAAGTCCCTTAGCATTAACACCCCAAAGACACTGGGCACAATTCTGACTTTTCTTCCCTCTGTAAGAAAAAAATGGAAGAAGCATTGGGAAAACACGGGAGAACTAAACATCGAGGAAGCTGTCACTTAGATACATGTCCCCTCTAAAATTATATGAGCTTTTCTATATGAGGCATTTGTTCATTCACTGCTCACATTTTACAGGTTCTTTAGATGATATCATGACCCTCCACCTTCACTTATATTCACAGAAAGCACTCTGCAAGGTTTTTTTTTAAAGACTAAGGAAAATGAGATATTATGTCTGATAGCAAAAGAAAACTCAATCTCTTGTTGTGCATTTCTGCTATTCTGCTATACCACAAGGCCACCTAGATAATGCGAAAAAAAAGCAACAATGGAGATGCTCTGAACAGGGAGCAGAGGGAAGGTTGCAGCACATGGCTGGGAGACCCGGCTGAACTCCTGCCTCATGGAGGCACCTTGGCTGGCGCACAGGTGCAGAGCCTCTGAATGCCATTTCGGTGTACCTCTGAACACCCTGCTGTTCCCCCTCCAGCAGATTTGGACAAGATGTGGGAGCAGCATCTGCCCATGTGAAGAGCTGAAGCAAAACTGAAGCATCCCCTCCTTCCCTCCCTTTCAGAAAAGCTTCCGACTCCACCCTCAGGGTGGCTCCTGCGGCTTGAGGGCCAGATGGTGGGAATTTTGGACGCTGCTTCAGTGGTCCAGTCATTTTGCCTGTCGCCTCTCCAAAGGGTCAAGGTCCCTCTCTGTCTCCACCCCACCCTGTTCTGACATGCCTTCCTCCTTTTCCAAGGCAAGCTGCTCCTCACACTTCACGCAGTAGCCTCAGCACTGCAAAGTCGTCTCCCACCCTCTGCCCTCTGCCTCCTCCCCAGGATCTGAAGACTCCATCTGGGCGGGGAGAGTGTGACTCAAGAGAGCTGGGCCCCTCTCTGCACATCCCCTACGCACTGACAAAACCCAGGAGCCTTGCTCCTCACCACCGTCTTCCTTTGTGTGTTCGTCCTAGGCCTGAGCTGCCCGTGGCCAGTGACGATTGAAAATGCTGAGACACGCCTGGTTCAGGACTCTTACATGTTTGGGGCCCTCAGGGAGGTGAGGTGCGTGCCTGGATTTAGAATGGCCGAGGGCCAGGAGCTGGCAGTGAGCCGTTGCCAAGGAGATGGGAAGTGGAGTTTTACAGCACCCTGTGAAGGTAATCGACTATCTCCTGCAAGGACCATCAGTAAAGCCCCAGTGGGACCGGTCTCATAACCACTTCTTGCTTAACACCTTCAGTCAATCCCTAACAATCACTGCCACCCAATGACCGATGACCACCCAATATTTCATCCTCTGGACTTAACACACCCTTGCCATTTCTTTCCCAGATGCTCTTCGTCTCCCATCCCTCTGCAAACCTCCACCGGAGATTGAAAATGGATTCCATGAAGGGGGACCCTACAACACAGGGAAGAGAGTTCGTTACTGGTGTAACTATGGGTGAGTTCGACACTGCATCTTCAGTTTCTTACTGAAGTCCCGATCAACAGAGAAATGCCCTGTTATCTCTTCTCTGTACTCAAGTGATCCAACAAATCCAGCTTTTCTTGTTCCTTTCTACAATCCATTTCTGACCAGGACTTATGTTCTGGCCTCCCCAGACTGGATCAGATATCTGGAGGTACCAAGTAAGAGCATCTTATGGGACACTACCACAAATGCAGGTTGTGCTTTGCTAGCACACACAACCTCTACTGAAACATCAATAACGTTTGTTGACCCCGCAGGTGTTCTGGAAAAACCATAGAACCTTACAAATTTATTTATTTATTTATTTATTTATTTATTTATTATTTATTAAAACATTTTTATGCCGCCCCATTCGCCGAAGCCTGGGGGCGGCTTACAACAATAAATAAAACCAAATTATATGTAGAATTCTCCTGGAGGATGCATGATGCTCTCAGGCTATTGAATTCCCAAGTTCATGGAATGCCATGGTGGAAAGTGTGAGGGGTTAATGCAGAGGTCTCAAACTCAACTGACCTGGGGGCCGCTGGAAGTAGAGTCTGGGTGAGGCTGGGCCGCATCAAGTATTCCACCCCCGCGGTGGTGGTGGGCCGCTCATCCTGCGGCCAGCCCGGGTGCTGCCGGCGCTTTGAAGGCCGCAGGGCCCCTCCCCCGTGCCCCCCCGTCCCGGCAACTGGCCCGCGGGCCGGGAGTTTGAGACCCCTGGGTTAATGTGTCCTACCTCCCACATCATTGTCTGTCTTTCCTCATAGATATCGTCTAGAAGGGGCCGACTCTCTCTTATGCCAAGAAAATAAAGAATGGTCACACCCAGCTCCCACCTGCCACCGTAAGTAGTCCAGGTGAGGGGGAAGGGGGAGACCTAGCTTCCTTCTAGCCTCTTGGCTGGACTCAGGTAGAAGTGTTGTGTCCCTTGGAATCCGGATATGTAGCTTGTGCCACACGTACATCAGCAAAGAGATAACCAGAATGCCACTGGCTCTAAACCAAAGCCAAGTGCTGGCCAACATCTCTCTCTCAGAGCCAGTCCCAGATTTTTTCTGCCCACGGCAAAGAACAAGATGGCGCTCCCTCCCATTCCATGTGCAAAACTTGACTGGACTGGCTGCTGAAACTTTATTCAAGACTGACACTGGTGCAACACTAGTTTAGGGGTACAGGGCAGGACTCTTGGCACAGCGCTCTCCTTGCCAGCGCCTGCCGCTGCCTCCCAGCATCTGCCACCTGAAGCAGCTGCCTCTGTCTGCCAGATGTTCGGGCAAACTTTGCTGTTGCTTGTGGTTCGTCGATCTGTCCATCAACAGTGATCCATTCATCCTTCTGCCTGTCCATACCTACATGTCTATTCCTAATCATGGGTCCTTCTCTCTTCGACACACCATCCCACCCGCACACACATGCACGGGTCATCCATCCATCCATCAGTGCGTGTAAGTGCCCTCCCACCCCCCTATCCTCCCTTAACCTGCCCATCTACAAAGCGTTTCCATTTGTCCAGGTGGACTTGCATTCATCCACTCATCTAGAACCTCCTTTTCTCTCTCCCCAGCTGTTAACTGCTCCCGGCCCCCACAAATTGCTGAGGCAACCCTGGTAGCTGTGCACCAGTCTGAATACCCGGTGGGAACGGTCATCTATTATTTGTGCAAAAAGGATTTCTTCTTAGATGGCTCCAACAGAGTCGTTTGCCAGGAGAATGGAAGCTGGTCCCAACTGCCCTATTGCAGAGGTATCTTCCTTCTAATGCCCCCACCTTTTTTGCAGAGTGATCTTTTACCAACCTAACCACTCAGTCCCACAGTCACATCCTCCCCTTCACTTTGCTGCTCCAGATGGAGAAAAAAAACCCCAGTCAGCGTGTGTCTCATTTAATACACCTTGTTTCTTACCTTCTCCAGCCCGCTGTCCCATCACTGCCAAGAGGAGTAGGATGATCTACCATGGGCGCAAACTCTGGATCTATGAAATCCCAGACCACCTGGTCCATCATGGAGAAACTGTCACATTTTTCTGCCTAAGCCAGAACAGGACATGCAGTTTTAAAGCTGAGAGTCGATGTTTTGATGGTGTGTTGAAGATGCCTGACTGCTATGATGGTAAGGCTGAAAATGCAGTATTGCTATCTGAGTTTAGCATGGTGGGGAAGGGCATTATCTGAACCTGTATTATGAATAGGAGTGGTTTCATGGTCTTGGATGGACATGCTTCCTCCCGCCACCTCCCAGAACACTAAGTACACAACTTAATGGACACACAGCATATACCTCACCCAGCTAGTGTCTCCAGTTTAGGGCTCTACTTCCTTTTTTTTCCAAGGAAAGGTTCACTACTTCATTAGAATCAATTAGAATCCCAGAACAGATACAGAACATCCCATTCTTGGAACAGCAAAAATGTGTAATAGGCATGCAAAGAAAACAAAGCAGTACATTTGTGCAATGAATCGCAAAATTAAAAAAGGTTAGTTCCTGATCGAAGGATATGAGATGGGGAATGCATAAAATCTTAGGCATTTTATGTTAGATTAGCTTCAGAGAGGACTTGTGCCACCTCTTTTCTGAGAACTGGGAGTGGAACGCACATATTTGATTAGGATGTTCTGTTTTTATTCTATTCCAGCTCACTTTTCAAGCAGCTTTTTTCATCACTCCTCTTTCTCCTTACAGAGCCTACCTATCTGCAATACCACATGTTCCCTCACAGACTTGTATCTGAAATACAGACTTGTTGAGCATCCAACCAACCTTCTATTCCTTGGTGAGAAGCCTCCCTCTCCTTCTGGTTCAATTAACATCCCGGAGCTGCAGAGAGGACAGATGGAAGAAGAAGGGATCAGTTCAGCCAATTACATTTAAAACCAACTACATGAAAAACAGAAATTAAGTCTGGGAATTTACATACCTTGATAGGCGACAGCTAGGTATTTTTATCTTATTTATTTTCTGTCTCTGTTGTTTCCTGGATGAGCACAAGAGATCCCTTTCAGGTCAACCAAACCCATAATTTAATTTCCCTTCCATCCTTTTCTTTTGAATCTCACTTGAACTAGACATATGGCTGGATTGGCAAGTCGGCAATAAAACAGTGATGCCACTGGAGGACTTTTAAACGTGAAGACAGCTTCATTCAGAGTCCACCATGTGCAATAACATTTAGTGGTTATATAGCACGTGTCAAATATGCTATGCACTTCACATACATTAGCTGCTGTGGTCCCAACAGCAGCCCTGGTAGTTATTACTTATCCAGAGCTAACCTAACAATTTAGCCTGCCAAGACGACCTAGTTGGTATGCGACGGAGGCAAAGTAAACTTAAGCCACAAACATCCCAGCGCAAATTGTTAGGCATAACACTATTCCAACTCCCTGTATAGTTGGGCAAAAGGGATTGTACTAAGAAAGTGTAAACAAAAAAGAAAAGCAATCCAAGGCTGCAGTTCTATGCATTCATACTTACAAAGCACCCAAATGAACTCAATGAGTTTTACTTCTTAGTAATCGTGTACAGGACTGACCTACGCTGCAGGCAAAGCACAGAACGTGACCTCAGATCAGCGATGCTGGAACAAACAAGCTGCAGCCAACATAAACAGTGTCCCAGGCTCCTAGCCTCCAGGGTTCTCTTCATGGTGGCACGCTCATATCACACTAAGAGAATGGACGCTCTGTGAAGATCGGACACTGGAAAATGAGCCTGAGATAAGAGCAAATTTAAAGCAGATACTCTTGGATGCTCATGTAAATGGATTTGTATATAATAAACTGCAATTGTTATACAGAGGTGTGTTCTTATGGTCACTATACGACTGATAGAAGCAAAGCATGCCTCAGAGGTATGTGATGCGATTTTTTATTGCATCAATATTCCATTTTTCCTCCAATGAGTTCAAGGCTGTGGTTTCTTCTCCCTCCCCTCTCACTTTATCCCCACAACAACAACCCTTCACGAGGTAGGCTGGAAGCTTTAAGTGTTGCGCTGCTTGGTGCCAGGGGTCACATGCTTGCAGGAACCCTATGATAGGAAGTGATTCACCAGGTGAAGCCTTCCCACAGATGGAAATAAGGACATGCTTGCTTATTCTCACGTTAATCATCCGTTTCTGAGACCTACCCCGTCCACCATTACAAACTGGTTGGTTAGGTCACCTGCTATATGCTGTATCCTTTACTGTGCTATAGAAGCAAAACAGGTAAGAACTCTCTTTGGATACAAAACTGCTAGGAAGATGCAATTGTCTTACTTCGTGTTTCCAATTTACTTCAGCAACCGCCTTGTAAAATGGCAGGCAGACAGTGCATTGTGTGATTCAGCCTTCCTCAACCTCATGCCCTCTCATACGTTGTGCTACAACCCCCACCATCCCCAGCCAGCCCGTACTGTTTAAAGGACCATCTGTCTCATTTGCAGTGTTCACACAGCATGGCAAGTCACCCTACATGGTTTCCATGGTTCGTATTTTTTACCATGGTGTACCTGACAATCAAGTGATTTTTCTGTTATCATGGTTACCATCCTCCCCACTCAGTCTTCCTGCTGTTACCACATATCCCATCAGCCACTGTGCCTGAAATTCCCAAGGTGCATTGCTCCTTGCCTCTGTTGCCTGCCTACTGCTCATTGGCCTGCACACACAGGTTGGACAGCCGAAATGGCTTCTTCAGTTGCACCTCTTTTCAGGGGACTCTGCGGTTTTTCCAGAACTGTGGAAACCATGATCCTGGGTTCAGACAAGACTGTAAGCCATATCCAGAGAAACCATAGAACAAACCATCATTTCTTATCATGGTTTCCAAAGACCAAACCTGCCATGGTGAAATATGACTGGGTTCAGACAACACGATGGACCAACAGTGCTAAAAAAAACCCCACAATGGTTTCTTGTGTTGTCTGAACCAAGCCAGTATGTACATACCCGTCAAAAGCTAGATTACCCCCTTCATATATTCAAAGCATCAGACCATTGCTTGGCAAAAGTTCTTTATTCTCCACTGTACACCCCACAGAATGAGTGTCTGAGCATGCGCACGGTGGTTCTCAGAAGCTAGTCCAGCAACTACTTCCAAGAACCCTCCTCCTGAGTAACCCTGGCTCACCCCTCTGGGAGGGCAGGCAAGGCTCTTACGCCACCCGTCTAGCTGGCCAGCCCTTCTCTCCCAGTGCCACATCAGGGAGCCACGAGGCATGCCAGGCTTGTCCAGCTCCTGAAGCTCGTGTCGCACACCCACTCCGAGCAGTTGCAGATCCTGGCTATTCTGAGTCCGCCTGGAGAGCGCCATCTTGAAATGAGCCCCTGCGCTTCTCCCATCTTGGTATCGGGAGACCTAGTTTCCCAGGGCCCACATCTGAAGAGTCCAAATCTTCCCGACCTTGAAGCTCACACCAAGCACAACCGCCTCTTCCATTCCTGACGCTGCCTAGCTATCAGGAACGGCAAGAGACGTCCTCCTGATGCTGCTTTTGCCTGCAGGCTCCATCCTTCTTCCACCTGGCTCCCCCAAGAGTTACAGCTGAACCCCACACCCTCCGGTTTCAGAAAAGGTGTGGAGATGCATCTTTTTATTACAGCATTTAAAACCATGCATTACGTTCTACATTACACTGTTATTGAGGCCCTTGATTGTTATTGTGTGCAACTTCTATTCTTTCAGATCTTTTAGATACGGCTTCGACGGCTTGTTGGCAAATTAGTCAAAATCTGATTGTCAGTTATGAAAAAGAATACAATATGTGGGAGCATTTACATGCGTGTGCAGAGGAGGCAAGATGCATGCACTTAACTTCTAGACGGGTGGATATTTGACAGGGAAATTAATGAAAAGGTAGTGGCTGCCACTGCCAAACAGGGACAGCTGCGGGCATTATTTTCTCTATTATTGTATTTCCATGTCAGCAAAAAGGCTGTACCAGCTGAATGCCTTTGTTTCCTGCAGCCATAAAGTTACAGGAGCAATGTCAGGGAAAGGTAGCAGCTGAGGAGCTGAGTCCAGGGTTTCAGGCAGTGTGGTTTCCCCCTTCCCCTATATTTTTAGGCAGTCATTTTGCAAGTTTCAATGACAAGTTTCAGGGAGAGAAGCTCAGTCAAGAATGATGGAGCCCAGGCAAGACTGAGCTTGCCCAAAATGTGGAAGTGAATCCCACACAGATGCACCATTCTAAGCTCTGCACAAGAAGCGCAGGATGCAAGTTAAAGCAAATATATATGGGAAACATTTGGCAGCCACCTTTCCCTTGCCAAGTGCTCCCCAACCACTTTCTGGCAGTTGCTAGGCAACACATTTCTTTTCCCCTGAAGCTTGACAGTGAGGGGGAAAGAGAGCAATAACGAGAAAATGGGGGAGACTCGAGCCAGGAAAGACCACTGATTAGCACTTTAAATTGGGCTTGGAAAACACGGGTAACCATTGCAGCCGGCATGAAATTATTATCACAAATAGCATTAAAGATTGAGTAAAAAGGCACGACTGTGCATCCTTCATGGCATTGTGTCTGCTTGTATTTGCCCCCCAAAGCTTCCCATGCTCAAGGTCAGCACCTTTCCTTCAAAGAGCTCGGGATGTGGCTTCCTCACAACTCCTAAGACAGGCAGATGTGATAGCAAATGCTCCATGCCTAGTGAACCTCATGGTGGGAGTGGCATTTAAACCTGAATGTTCATCCAACGCTCTAACCACTAGACCACACTGATTCTTTAGACAGCTTCCTGGACTCATGGTTGCAAGATTTTGTCTATATCCCTGTGGTTTTTTTTTTTTTCTTTAGCAAAACACTCTGACTAGGACTGGGCGGCTGGATAGAGCCCTCTTTAAATTTCCTCTAATGCATCACTCTGGAAAATTGTGACTTGACACAGCAACCCAGTGTTGCCCAGAGCTCTGCCTCCACACCAGACAAAGCTGCTAGGCCTTAGTAGAGGAGACGGCCAAGGGCCCTCTAAACCTGGGCTGGCCCTGGGCCTTGCTAACACATTTTTACTACCCTTAGAAAAGCAAGAGGCAATTACACAAACTGACTCCCCTCAGTGGTATCTCCAGGGTGGTGATGCCGGACTTCACAGGCACATGGTTCATTGCTGCTTACCAAAAAGTTAGTGTTACAAACCCATCTGCTTCAAAACCTAACTGAGGAGATGCCTGTACTGAACTATGCATGAAAACCCAACATGCAACTGCAGAATGGAGTTGGCTAGTTATCTTCTCACTTCACGAAAGAGGAAGAAAAACACAAATAACCATCATGTTCAAACATGCTTCTTGCAGTTCATAGCCTGGAAAGATACTTTAACCTGTGATCTTTAAAGCGTTTATATTTAATTGATAAAATTCAGCCAAAGGTACACAAAAGGGCTCAGTGCTGAGACAGAAAAGGTTATTCTTCCTGACCGTTGCCACTTTTTTAAAAAAGGGGATAAACTTGTACTTTTTTGATATGCAAAGGAATAACTGACTGCAGCCAGCAGAGGTCAAATACACAGAGCTTTATTCTGGGGAGAAAAAAAACATCCCTGACACTGTTTGTGTATACTGTGTGTGGCCATGTGTGTAATAAAAAGCGAAAGAGGTGAAGGCCACTGTTGACGAAAACGGGATGCTCATTTTCTCTTTGCTGCCAAGTGCCCAGGCACAGGGCCAGAGGACAGGTTCTGGTTGCCAAGTCAAATGCTGTCAAAAGCAACCTCCCCACAGCGCGGGCTTTCTCATCCTGGGGGTACCGTTTGAGAATACTTAGCACATCTTATGAGTCTCCATCCTCACCCTGGTCCATGTCGCCCGTAGTCATTAAAAGAGGATGAACAGCCTTGCGATTAACAGAGGCAGTATATCCATCTGTTTACCAGAGAGAGCCTTGCCTCTAGTTCCTGATAAATCAACGTTTGATTTTTTTTTCATCCCTAATTTTGCTTCTTTGGAGATGCTTTGTTAAAATATCGATAGTATGCAGTGTTCAGCTTGCTTCCCATGTCATGTATCTTCATGGTGTTGTTTTTAAAGCAGCAGTTCAGGTTCGGATCACAGCTCTTGAGGAGTGGATTCTACTCTTTCTCACTGCCTTTGCAGACCCCAGAAATCACACTTGCAACATGTTATTTCCAGCAAGTGCGAAGTAGAACAATGGATCCATCTTATCCCAAGTGCAAAAGTATGTAAATACCTAAGCACAAGCACCAAGGTATAGCATGCTCATTTATGTATACCCTCGGTTTTTGGTGATGCATTTGCATAAGGTTTGCATGCACTAATTTATATAAGGAGATGCAAACTGGAAAATAATAAATGTAATATAAGTAGGGAAGCAGTATTTCTCTCCACAATAAAGAAGACTGGGGCATAGAGCCAGTGTGTCTACTTGGCCTGATGTCCAGGCCCTGTTGATGGGCATCTGTAATATCATGGCACTCCTTTCTTAGGATTCTTTAACTCTTCACTAGATATGTTCTGGTCAGCCCTTCAAATAGAAGGTGTCTTCAAATACAGAACTGCCCTTCCAACAGATGACTATCCTCATATAAAATAGGCTATATGGCCTGTACTAAGGCATCACCCACCCTACTGTGGCAGCCAGGGTATGCCTTGGACCATTGATATTGGACTGTGTGTTTTCCACATACACTTGCTTAGAAAAGCAGACCTTTCTACAAATCTGCAAGCTAAACCAACACCATAAGCCTCCACCATAGCCCTGCATTTTACAGAAAGTTCTGCAAAGTACAGGCAGTCAAGATAAAAAGGTAGCAAGACACAAAGTCTTTGCTAAGCATTAAGGACATGGAACAGCAACAC